CAGAAGTAATACAAACAAAATAGTTAAAGAATTTATTGCTTCATTTTTCTAAAATCGTTGGTAGAAGGGTGTACCAAAACTGTTCGACAATATTATTAATTGTCCCATCTTGAAATTTAACGTATAACTTTTCCACAAAGGCTTTCTTTACTGAATGTATCATTAACGAATCGATTTGAGTGTACGAAAGATTGAAACATTATGTAACGCAAAAAAGTGGATTTTTTAATACCCCCCCCCCTCTTGTCACGCACTTTTCATATACTTATTACATGGTGGTTAACACATTTACAGACTACTCCCACCCCCTATTGCGTTGCGTAATTTTTGAATGGGAAGTAGAAGTTATATTTTATGTTGAAAAATATTAGAAAAACGGGAATTCGTATTAAAACACCAGGTCAGAGTTCTAATTGCAAATAATGCATTATTAGACACTTAGGTAGACACTCGTACAAAATGGTGAGTGCATGGGCACAGCTGGGTGGCGTAGCTTGGGCAATGTTGCCAGTCCGGCAATAGCAAAGTGAAGAGGTGCGAAACGAACACTGGCGCGGTAACCATAGTACGGTCATAGAGGAAATGCTTCACCAAACCCGAGCGTCTGTTCACCATGGAGGTGCGGCTCAAAACGGCGTCTGTTCTCCATGTTAGGAGCGGATGATCACCGTCCTAGTGCCAGCGTGGGACTTTGAACAGAGTTGTGCACGATGGTCCCCCCGCGAGACAGGGGCCCACCAACAAGCCAACCTGGAAAAAACATAAAGTTGCAAATACCGAAGCAAGAAATATGGATCGGAACAATCGAAACAGACCTACGCGACGAAATAAGGACTACGATTGGAAACTCGGAACATGGAACTGCAAATCGCTCGGCTTCCCGGGTTGCGATAGGTTAATCTATGACGAACTTCAACCACGCAACTTCGAAGTCGTAGCACTGCAAGAACTTTGCTGGACGGGACAAAAGGTATGGAAAAGCGGGCATCGAGCGGCTACTTTCTACCAGAGCTGTGGCACCACCAACGAGCTGGGAACCGGCTTTGTAGTGCTGGGTAAGATGCGCCAACGCGTGATTGTTTGGCAGTCGATCAACGCGAAGATGTGCAAGTTGAGCATTAAGTATCATCAATGTGCACTGCCCACACGAAGGGAGACCCGACGACGAGAAAGAAGCATTCTATGCGCAGCTGGAGACCTGCTCCAGCTGCACATAGAACGCTTTTTTCTCGTGCGTACACCTGGTACGACGGCTGTTCGCAACGGGACGTCAAAATCGTCATCGGCGACATGAACGCTCAGGTAGGACGGGAGGCAATGTATAGACCGGCGATCGGGCCAAACAGCCTGCATGCCGTATCGAACGACAACGGCCAACGATGCGTGAACTTTGCAGCCTCCCGGGTTATGGTAGTTCGAAGTACCTTTTTCCCCCGCAAGGATATCCACAAAGCCACCTGGAGATCACCTGACCGACACACAGAAAACCAAATAGATCACGTTCTAATCGACGGGAAATTCTTCTCCGACATTATCAACGTCCGCACGTACCGCAGTGCTAACATAGACTCGGACCACTACCTAGTTGCAGTATGCATGCGCTCAAAACTCTCGACGGTGCATAACACCCGTCGAAGTTGAACGCCGCGACCCAACATTGAGCAACTACGCGACGTCGGAGTTGCCCAGGACTACGCGCAGCAGCTGGAAGTTGCACTACCCTCGGAAGAGCAGCTTAGCGCGGGTACTCTTGAAGAGTCTGAAGGGACATCCGTTCCGCCATAGGTAGTACTGCTGCAGCGGCACTAGGTACTGCAATCCCGGACCGAAGAAATTACTGGTTTGACGGCGAATGCAAACTGTTAGTAGAGGAGAAGAATGCAGCACGGGCGAGAATGCTGCAACACCGCACGAGATTGAATGTGGAGCGATACAGACAAGCGCAGAACAGACAAAACTCGGTTTTCCGAAGGAAGAAGCATCAGCAGGAAGACCGAGATCGCGAGGCGATGGAAAATCTGTACCCCGTAAACGACACACGGAAGCTCTACGAGAAGCTAAATAGTTCGCGCAAAGGCTACGTGTCACAATCCGATATGTGCAAGGACTTGGACTGCAACCTTCTCACGAACGAGTGCGAGGAGATTGAGATGTGTAAGCAGAACTATGACGAGCACCTCAACGGTGATGCAACAGAAAACGAAGGTGGCACGGCAACAGACCTTGGAGCACGCGCAGAAGAGGACAAGCTACCGGCCTCTGATCTTCAAGAAGTTGAGGAGGAGATCGGTCGGCTGAAGAATAACAAAGCAACTGGTGTAGATCAACTACCAAGTGAGCTATTAAAATACGGTGGTGAAGCACTGGCTAGAGCGCTGCACTGGGTAATTGCCAGGATTTGGGAGGAACAGATATTAGCGGAGGAGTGGATAGAAGGTGTCGCATGCCCAATCTACAAAAAGGGCGACAAGTTGGATTGCTGCAACTACCACGCGATCACACTGCTGAGCGCCGCCTACAAGGTACTCTCCCAAATTCTATGCCGCCGCCTGTCACCATTTGCAAGAGAGTTCGTGGGGCAATACCAGGCGGGATTCATGGGTGCCCGCGCTACCACGAACCAAATTTTCGGGATTCGGCAGGTTCTGCAGAAATGCCGCGAATACAACGTGCCCACACATCATTTGTTCATCGATTCCAAATCCGCATACGACACAATCGATCAAGATCAGCTATGGCAGATTATGCATGATCACGGATTTCCGGATAAACTGACGCGATTGGTCAAGGCGACGATGGATCGAGTGATCTGCGTTGTTCGAGTATCGGGGACACTCTCGAGTCCCTTTGAATCTTGAAGGGGGTTACGGTAAGGTGATGGGCTTTCGTGTCTGCAATTCAACATCGCGTTAGAAGGTGTGATCAGAAGAGCTGGGATAGACACGAGTGGCACGATCTTCAGGAAGTCCAACCAGATTCTTGGCTTCGCCGATGAAATCGACATCATGTCACGGAACTTTAAGACGATGGCGGAAACGTACATCAAACTGAAGGCTGAAGCTAGGCGGATTGGACTTGCCATCAACGCATCATAGACAAAATACATGAAAGGAAGAGGTTCTAGGGAAGACAATGTTAGCCTCCTACCCCGAGTTCAGATTGACCATGACGAAATCGAGGTGGTCGATGAGTTCGTGTATTTGGGCTCACTGGTAACCGCCGAAAATGATACCAGCAGAGAAATTCAAAGACGCATTATGGCAGGGAATCGTGCCTACTTTGGACTCTGGAGGACACTCCGGTCGAATAAAATTCGCCGCCGCACGAAGTTGACTGTCTAAAAAACGCTGATTAGACCGGTGGTCCTCTACGGTCACGAGACCTGGACTATGCTCGTGAAGGACCAACGCGCCCTTGGTGTTTTCGAACGGAAGGTGTTGCGTACCATCTACGGTGGAGTGTAGATGGATGACGGAACGTGGAGGAGGCGAATGAACCACGAATTACACCCGCTGCTGGGAGAACCATCCATCGTCCACATTGCAAAAATTGCGCGACTACGGTACGCTGGGCACGTCGTATGAATGTCATCAGACGACCCAGTGAAAATGGTTCTCGAAAGCGCCCCAACAGGAACAAGAAGAAGAGGCGCGCAGTGGGCAAGGTGGATCTACCAAGTAGAAGGTAATCTGCGGACCCTTCGTAGACTACGAGGCGAAGTGTGTCCATGGATTGAGTAGAGTGGAGACGACTTTTTCGGCCATCAGAGGACAACAAGGCCATAGCCTGATTGATAAGGTAAGTAAGTATACACTCGTCAACCCCACATTCCCCCTATGGTGTCTACGTGTCTTATGAGAAGTCCCTAATATAATATAATAATAAGTAGTACATAGCTCAGCCCCCTACTTAATAAATCGTTACTGTGCCTGATAACTCTTCCAAAGTATTTCTTGAAATCAGCGAAGTCCTCGATCGACGACTTGTGTTACGTATTGATTCTTTCTCCGCAGCATGTTAGCCGCCATAAATCCACCAACCAACCGATATGACACTTAATTCTGACTTATGCCCGAAAATCGTAAACGGCCGATTTAAATGTGCAGTGATCCGAACTGTTTTTTTTTTTTTTTTTTTTTTGATGTTTTGAACTAGTTAAAAATAATTTGTTCGGAATAGGTCGGACACGAACCAATCTTTTGCATGCGGGCTCATGGGTTAGTTAAATATTTTCCGCGAACACGGAGCCAGATGTTAGTAGTGTGCTTTGGTCAGAATTTTTAATGTTTTTGCTATGGTCATTCATGTCGGTTTGTCGGTGATAAATCTATGGTCGGAATCAAACTGATTAAGGACAATCTCCTTTACTGCCGCTCTTCGCATGTCCGTCGCATAGCGAAAATCAGCAAGGCGACAAAATCCCATTTAAAGATTGAGCCTAAACTGATTTCATTGAAGGTAATTTCTGTTGTTTTCACTGATTCTGTTGAAATGTGAACAATGCAATAAGGGCCCATTTAAATATTATGTAACGTAAGAGGGGGTGGGGAAGTCTGGAAATGTGATAACCATGTATGAAAAGTGCATCCACTTTTTTGCATTACATAATATTTGAACGAACCCTAACTTATTTTAACGTATATTTCTTCCAATGAGTATAACTGATTCGAAACATTATATGCGATTTTCTCATATGTAACTTTTTTAGAACATGGCACAGATATGCGTAGAACGACAGTAAAGGTCAATAATAATCAATGATGAAAAAAAAATCAAATTGCAGAGCAGACAAATAATTGACACAAAAACTGGGTTCATTATTATGTAGACAAATAGGGCACGGATAAAACAAAGTTTGCAAGGAAAAGATATATAAATAACCAAAAACAAGCACATTGAATCAGAGGTCGACGATAATGGTTGACTGTTTATCGGATTAAATAAGAATCAGATTGAATGATGGAAAATTAACAATCTATGGTCTCTCAAATCTCACTACACTACTTATCATAACCACCGAAAAAGTTCTGCGACTTTAGCGCGTCAAACTTTAGCACCAACAAATCCGTATCGATCGTCCCGTCTTCATTCTCGGCAATGTTTGGCACAAGATTCGTAGCTCCCACCATCACGTCATCTTCTTCCACCCGATTTCTTTCCAAGAAGCTCTGCAGCTGCCTTTCCACGTCTCCATCGAAAAATTGATCCAGTTTCCCGAGGTCCCGGTGCTGCATTTCAAAGAAGTTTGCCTCCAGCTTCCGATCATCTGCCACCGACTCGGTGTTGTTTACAGCCGTCAAATACTCACCCATCTCCTGCGATCGATCTCCGATCTTGCACAGACTACACCGCGTCGTTTGCATTCGCTTTCGTATCGTTTGCAACTCCAGTCGTTCCTTGCTGAACGCAATCTTTTCCTTCGACAGGCGATCTTCGCGTTCGGAAATCTCCCGAAACTGTCGCTGCACGAGCTGTATCTTCAACTGAAGATTCTGCTCCGCCCGCTTGATGCCCTTGAAAGCATTCTCGGCATTCAGTTCCTTCATTTTGGCACTACTAATGGCAGTTTCCAGTTCGCTTGATTTGGTTCGTAATTGACTTTCCTGGTTGATCAGCTCCCGTCGCTTAGTTTCAAACTGTCGTTGGAGTTGTAATAGGCGTTCCCGTTCTACATCCGCTTGCTTGGCGGCATCTTCCGCAACCTTTATGGCCGCATCGATCTCCGCTCGCGAGAGGTCCAATTGGTCCTTTTTCTGAATCTTGGAAAGGGTTTCAATTTTGACTTTTTCTTCCAGAAGCAGTTGTCTTTCGTCTTGGATTTTCTGTACCAACCGCGAGTGATCTTCTAGCTGAATTTGTTTGAGCTCTTCAATGCGCTTTTCATCGCGTATGATTCTCTCTCGGGCAAATTCTTTCTCTTTTTCGAAAGCTTGCTTCTCACAATCGAGCTTGACCATTTTCTGCTGATAGGTCCAATGTTCTTCGGAAGATGTCTGAAAATAAAAGTAATGATAAGACGTTGCAAATGAAGAATTGGCATCAGTTACCTTCGATAGCTCAGTGAGCTTTCCCTCCAACATTTCAACCAGATTGAGCAATCGCACTTTTTCCGTTTCGGCTGCGTCCTTTGATCGCTCGAGCATTCTTTGCTGATCCTCCAACTGTTTTTCCCTAGCCTTTAGTTGAATGTCTTTCTCCTTCTGTGTAAACTCCATCTGCTCTTGAAGTGTATCTCGTAGCTGCTGAAGATCTCCGGAGGCATTTTCCAGATAGTTGGATGCATTCTTCAGCATATTCATGTAGGATTGATTATCCTGAACCACGGAAAATTCCAGCATCTTCGATTCGCGAATATTGTTAATCATTTCTCTGTGCTCACTCTTCAGGTTCTTCAAGCTTTCATCGTAGTTCGACTTCAGCTTCTGCACAGTTATACCATGACTGTCTTCCATTTCTTGCACCTGCTTGTTGTGTGCAGCAATCAGCTGCTGCTTTTCGTCTTCCAATTTTCCCAACTTTTCCTGGTAAAAGTCTTCCAAGCTCTTATTCTCGATTTTCATCCTAGACTCCATTATCTTCAGACTCTCCTCCAAGAATCCCATCTGTTTTCTGTAGCTCTGTTCCAATAATGTGACTTCCTGTTCGTGATTAGCAGTTATGTTGGATATTAGATCTTCCATGCGAAGCTTTTCCAGCTCCAATCGCTTAAGATCTGACTGTAGCTCAACTTTTTTCAGAGCATCATCTTCTTCGTTGGTACCCGCATTCGTTCCTCCCGCCCTTTTTGCAGATCCAACCCGTTCTATCTTGAGTGGCGTAATGTGCGGTGGTTGTGTCATCATAACCTGAATATTGGTGTTGATGCGTTCTTGTTGCTTCGAAATTACCTCCTCCAACACATTATGTCGCTGAATCTGTTTCTGCAACAGATCGTTGAATTGCGACTCTTGTTTTTGCAGAATAGCTTGCTGTTTATGTTGCATTCCCAAGAGAGCTTGCTCCTGACTTCTCATTTGGTTGGCAACCATCAGTTGGAATTCCTGCTGTTGCATGGTGTTAAGAGCACTTTGAGTTTCACTATTTAGCAACTCCATGGTTTGTGCACCCGTTGCGATATCCGGTTTCAACATGGTCGTCAACGAAACTGGCACAGATTGCACTACAGGAACTGCTTGAACGGTTTGAACAGGAGCCACAACAGAAGGCGGAGGAACGGGAGTTGCCGGCTTGATAGTTTCCACAGGCTTGGGAGTTTCGGGCTCAATCTTTGGAATAGGGATTGGTTCCGGGTCATTTGATGTACTATCATCGTTCAAGCCCAACCAATCCGCGCTTTTCTTGCTCGCTTTATCTGCCTTCTTCGATTCCAGTGGACTTGAAAACAATCCAAGAGGATCGTGCAGAGCCGTGGAAGATTTCCTTCTTGCACTCCGGCGTGATGCACCACCTCCGCTAGGAGCATAGCCTCCCATTATGGTACTCTCGGTTTGCAAATTTTCCGACGTCTCCGTCGATTGCCTCGAAATCGATTTGGTACCAGCAGTCTCATCCTTACCAACCCCCAAGGATTGCTTATTTTTGCTTTGCTTGGAGATTATGTCCTTACTTGAAGTTATTATTGGTCCTCCGAGAATATCATCCAGTATGTTTGATTTAGATTTTGGTTTCTTCGGGTCGAACCCTAAATCAGACAGGACATCACTATCATCGAAGGTAATCTCCTTCCTTTGAGCCGTCGATTCGGCTTTCTTTACTGGAGTACTTGTTTTCCTCGTCTGAAAGCTGGTCAAACTCGAAGGTTGACCGGAAATCGGCGGTTTCGAGAAGTCCAACGAGACAGGAGCTTCTTTTTCGGCCGTGATAGCCGCAACAGGTTTCGGAGGTTCCGCTTTGGGAGCGTCCGATTTGATACCGAACAAATCTTCCATTTTGGACTGTTTTACTTCCGGTTTGCTACTTGTGGTAGATTTTTTCGATTTCTTACCGGTGTCATTGCCGAACAAGCTATCGTTGCTTCCGTCACTCAGAAGACCCTCCAATGGGTCATCCAAATCAAAGTTCATCGCACTGGTTTATGATATTTATTGAAATCGAATTGAAATCTAAGAAAAACATACGAGTTTACAAGTAGGTAGATACAAAAACTGGTAAACAATGCTGTTTTAGGGTTGCGTATCCATAGCAACCGGAAGATAACATGTTTTGCCTGCGCATTAGTTTATGCGCAGCACGTGCTAGTTTATGGCATTCATGCAGTACGCGCGCTATGTAGCAGTACTGCGTTTGCAGCGCCACAGAAAGCCAGCGGTTGATGGCATAAGTTCATCTTGCCATAAAAAAAATATAATATAAAGCTACACGGCCGATGGGATCACCTTAAAATTGAGTTGAATTCGACTCAATTTAGCGAAGTATGCATTTCAGGATCAACAATAGAAAAGGGCCCATCAGCATTTGTAAACAAACCGTTCCAAAGCCCATTCCTCACAAATCGAAAGCTGCCCACACAAATCAACACCATCATCGTGTAGGTGGAAGTTCCCCCTATCCGTTGTTGATCCAGATCTGCTCATTAACGTGAATAAAATGATTTCACTGAAAACGAAACTATTTCAGAGAGTGAGTCACTTTTACTCAGTAAATATTATGGAGAAATTCCTAAAGGCTTAGCTTAGAAAATACCAAACTAAATCGGTTATGTATTTATTTATTTCGTCAAGCATAGTAGACTACGTTTATAATGTTTTACTTACATGCTATGCATTATTTCTTTTTCTCTACTAAGATTTTTATTTGATTTTTGGACATAGTGATGTCATAAACAGGTGCATCATTGGCGTTGACGGCGACTCTGTAGCTCTTTACTCCTATGAGAAAATCCATAAGCAAACGTCATACTGTGCGTGAAACATGGCGGACTTTGTACTATCCTTTCACTCCACCGAAAATTCCCATAGGAAACTGTCTATATTTGCTGGAAGAGCACATTTTTCGACGGTACCGTCAACGCCAATTCGATTTATGGGACCATTTTTTTTCGTAATTTGTTCTGCATGAGTTTTCACAGAATAATTTTCGAGTTCCAAGAGGTCTAAAAGGGTGGAAAATTTAGCTGTGAGGGTATTGCTGCAGATTCTGCAGTATTGCGATGAAAAATAATGTCATTAATAACAAAAATATATTTTTTTTATAGTCACTTTAACGCTCTTGGGTCATTCGTGACTTGTCCGGGGGTGAGATTTGAACTCGTGACTTTGGCGTGAGCGGTATGGTTGCTAACCACTACGCCGGGGTCACCCCCAATATAACAAAAATAAGCATTGCAAACTCACCCGGTTCCTTTAGTGTTTGTAGATTGATGAGCGTTCAGCGTGCATCATAGGATGGTAGAGGAAATGCAGTCCTATTTAGTCGTCGAAGAGTATACAAAAGAAATTGTTTTTGGACAGATTTAATGCGATCTTCGTATATGGCAGTGTATGGGCTCCATACTATGTGGCAGTATTCCACAATAGGTCTTACATATGTAGTGTACAGTAATTTTATAGTGTAAAACAGTGTGTCCTTAAAATTGTAAATGAACCTCTTGATGAAACCCAGCATGCTATTTGATTTGATTATGAAAGTGTTATAACACAAACGAAGTGACACACGGCATTTTCACCAAATGTACTAGAATGTTTTGGTTCTATCCATGGACCCAAAGGGTAAGGACCTCCTTCACGCGATTTTTTTTTGGTTCACCTAGCTGTTTTTTTTAGTGTACCTGGTGCACTCGGTACTAGAGCAAAAGACAGCAATTTGTACCAGAACAGGTGTCAAACGTGATACAGACAGCACAACCAACAATCAATACGAAACTAACGATTTTAAATTGGCTCACCACTTTAGTAGCCTATTGGTCCCAAGCACACGATTAACGTACCCTATTCTAGTTGAAATTCTATTACTACACTATGTTTGTTTTGATTCGCTATGAAAGTTTGACAGATAACATCAGGGGTGTGTGGATTCATGCAGAACATGCAGGAGTGAGTGAAATAGCTTGGGACTGCTTGGGACCGTTGTTCTGGTACTGAGTGAGCCAAAAATAATAATGATTTTCTTCGGGACCCAGTGGTCTTAGAGTTACCTCTATGGCACAACTGCCAGCAAAAGCGCCAGCAAAAAAAAGCGCGGTACCCGCTGCCGTGGCAGTCAGATTGAGGTGTGTCATAGCCCTTAGCACGTTTCTTTTTGTTTCGCCATTTTGAGATTTGAACTCGTGACTTTGGCGTGAGAGGCATGGATGCTAACAAAAAAAAAGCGGAACTAGTTAAAATAGTTAATTATCTAATCTAATAGTCATTAGCTCCAGGGACCTTGAACATCATATATTTGGAGGTAAATAGAGATAATAATAATAATAATATATTTGGATTGTCCCCAGGAGGATTGTTCGAAGAACGATTGTACCCAGGAAGATTGTTCGAATAAGGATTGTCCGCAGGAAGATTGTTGAAAGGAGGATTGTCCACAGGAATTTTGCTCGGGAGAAGGTTGTTCGAAGTATTGTTCGGAGGAGGATTGTCCGCAAGAAGATTGTTCGGGAGAAGATTGTACGAAGGAGAATTGTCCGCAGGAAGATTGTTCCGAGGAGGATTGTTCCAAGGAGGATTATCAGCAGGATTGTCCGCAGGAATATTGTCCGCTACCGACGAGTTGAGGATAAAGATTATCCGGAGGAAGAGGATTGTCCGCAGGAGGATTGTTCGAAAGAGTATTGTTCGAAGAAGGATTGTCCGCAGGAGAATTGTCCGTAGGAGAATTGTCCGCAGGAAGATTGTTTGGAGGAGGATTGTCCGCAGGAGGATTGTTCGAAGGAGGATTGTCCGCAGGAAGATTGTTCAGAAGAAGATTGTCCACAGCACGATTGTCCACAGGAAGATAGTTCGGAAGAGGATTGTCCGTAGGAGGATTGTCCACAGGAAGATTGTTCGAAACAGGGTTGTCCGCAGAAGGATTGTTCGAAAGAGGATTGTCCGCACGAAGATTATTTGGAGGAAGACAATTGTCCGCAGCAGTGATGGAAAAGTTCATCAAAGTTCCCTATGACTCGCGAACTTTTCCCTTGGTGAACTTCGTGAAATATTGCGAACTTTTCCAACACTGATCCGCAGGAAGATTGATCAGAGGAAGATTGTCCACTGGACGATTGTCCGCAGGAAGATAGTTCCAGGAAAGATCTTCAGAGACAATCAATGACGTTCAAGGAAAACGTTGGGGAACGACACTGATCCGGATGCATGTTGCTTCAAAAAAGATATGGCAACACTGTGACGGCATGCGAGCGGAATTGAAAGAATTTTCGGAATAGACAGAAGGATCAACAGGGATATTCAGGATATACTGAAAAATAGACAAAAAATCGAATAAGGATGTCTGGAGAAAATAAGTTCTGACTGATGTTCTGGATATATAAGCAGAATTTATGGATAAATTTGATAGGGATACAGGATGCATCCGAATGTATCGTTCCCCCTGGAACATATAAAGAGCTTCAGAGTTCCGGATAATCTTCTTCCTCCACGTACTCCTTGACTCGTCGGTAGCAGACAATTCTCCTTCAAACAATCCTCATGCGGACAATCCTCCTTTGAACAATCTTCCCGCGGACAATTATCTGACTGGCGGGATCTGGTCCATTCGGTCCTCGCTACACAAGGATCGTACCTGGGTCCGCCTTGCATGATTTCTAGTTGGGTCCCCAACAATTAAGTGATAAAACTGATTCCATTTTGATCAACATCAACAATGACATTAATCCTAGCTCTGAAGTTCAGGTTAGGAAAAAAGTTAGGTTAAAACAAAACGTCAGATATTGTTGGTAAACAAACCGATAGCATTGTTGACAGCATTCCCCCATGCACTCATAAATATAACTACCCACAAATCTAAAAAACCTACTACTGCGTGCACTTCCATTCTATTACCGAGAACCATGATTTTTCGATAAATTCCTTCCACGCGATAAATTCCTTTGGGTCCATGGTTCTATCATAGAGGTAACTCTAAGACCACTGGGTCCCGAAGAAAATCATTATTATTTTTGGCTCACTCAGTACCAGAACAACGGTCCCAAGCAGTCCCAAGCTATTTCACTCACCCCTGCATGTTCTGCATGAATCCACACACCCCTGATGTTATCTGTCAAACTTTCATAGCGAATCAAAACAAACATAGTGCAGTAATAGAATTTCAACTAGAATAGGGTACGTTAATCGTTTGCTTGGGACCAATAGGCTACTAAAGTGGTGAGCCAATTTAAAATCGTCTGTCACTTCGTTTGTGCTGTCACTTCGTTTGTGCTGTCACTTCGTTTGTGATGTCACTTCGTTTGTGCTGTCACTTCGTTTGTGGTTATAATGTACTACAAATGTACTGGACACCAACAGTATTACCATAGAGGTAAGGGGTCGTCCATTAATTATGTCACACATTTAGGGGGGAGGGGGTTTTGAAAACTGTGACGACCAATACAAAAAAAATTAAGGTCCACACAAAAAATGTGACAAAGGGGGAGGGTGGTTGAAAATGGGCCAAATTTGAGTGACATAATTAATGGACCATCCCTAACTCAAAGACTAGTAGGTCCCGAAGAAACGTGCTCAACTTTTTGGCTCAGCTCTGGTACTATTTTCGGTCCCAAGCTAATCGATTCACCCCTCGAAACATAGGAAAATCCACTAACCCCTCATTTTATCTGTCAAAATTTCATAGCGAATCAAAACAAACATTGTGTAGTACTAGAATTTCGACTAGAATTGGGTACGTTAATCGATTTGCTTGGGACCAATAGGCTAGTCAAGTAGTGAGCCAATTTAAAATCGTTAGTTTCCACCGGTTGGTATTACGCCTAAGTCCCTTACAATTTTGCATTTGTCTACTATTTCGTCTTCTAAATGTATGTTTATGCAAGGGGTTCCAATTTTTCTTCTTAATATTAATGCGTTACATTTTTAATGCTGAGTTGGAGCAGACTTTTGCTACACCAGGTGCAGAATAGATTTATTTCATTCTGAAATATTTCTGCGTTAGAGGCAGCTCTTATTTCTATGAAGAGCTTCATGTCGTCTGCATACACAAGTACTTTAATGTTCTTAAGTATGAAGGAAATGTCGTTTACGTACAAATTAAAAAGAAGTGAGCCCACATGAGATGCCTGGGGGACCCCAGAGGTGACTAGAATTGGTTCTGAAAGTTTATTTTTAAAGCGTACAATTTGCTTACGGTTTGTTAAGTAGGACTGGAACCAGTTCAAAAGTCTGGCTTTCATTCCCACTTTCTGCAGCTTGAAGAGTAATAATGGTATGTAAATTCTGTCAAGCCAATGAGGAACCAAATAAGTAGTAATTTCTTTATAAATATTGGATAAATTTAGCAAAATTAAAGAAACCCAATTGCAAGGTTTTGTCAAAATTTACATTTCTGTGCCAGCATTTCGCGAGAAATCGACGACTAAAGCCATTGTTTACAAATGCAATTACGCCGCTTTGAAATGTTGGCACTGATTATATTATTTTAAAATTGACTAGTTTTATTCGTTTACTACAACTTATTTCAGCATATCAATTTACTAGATATGCATTGACTTCCGATATGCTCGGACGACCACTCGGTGGTAAACAAAGCATGGCCAGTAAAAACATTTAAATAAAGAAAAACAGTTTAAAAGACGGATTTTGAGGCTAAGAATAGCATTGAAAACATACATTCTAGTTCTATTATACATAAAATTTATGCAACCTGTCAAAATATTCGAAAGAAGTCTAAATTTGAATAAAAAGTATGCATTTTATGACTTCTTTCGATTTATACACGCCAATAGGCGAATCCAATAGAAACCAAGCGATCGTTTCATGCTCTGGTGCTGAATAGTTGAGCCCTAAAAAGAGTGATGGGGCTGAAATTTTTGCCGTGAAGCATAGGAAGAGGAACATATTTTCACCTTTCCTGATTGATTTATCCATCGCAGGTGCTTGAAATCGTCATCCACGTGGAATATTTTGTTTTCTGTATCGATGTTGCAGTGATCTGGTGCTTACATATATTTTTTTATGAGAAAAATGAAGATTTATAAAATTGTACCAGCGGTTATGATCTTCCGGATTTTTAATGTGTGGTTATTTGAACTGATTCAGATCTGTAGATAATTGAACTCCTGATGGAAATTTGCAAGTTGTGGAATAAAATATGCATTATTTTTAGTTTTGAAAGTCGTCATTATGATCGAGATTATGATTGGCGGCTTGGATGACATTTCCTCTCAAAATCTTCTACACGGAGAAAAAATACTACCCAAAATTTGAGTTCTTTTTACTTAATATTGACTTCAGCCTCTCACTTGCACTCGTTATTGTTGTCAAAAAAGGAACGAGAGATTCGACCCAACGATATAGTTCAGCCCAATAAGCTACTTTTGAGTAAATTGCATATTCTCAAATTTGCGTGAATTAATCTTAATTTTGGGTAGAATATACTTAAGAGTAGGTAATTTTTTTTTGCTGGTGTTAAATGGAAACTACTATATGCGATTTACTCAAATTTGGGTTATTGGGCTGAACCCCGGAATTGAGGGAAAAGTACTTAATTTTGGGTTGTTTTTCATCTCCGTGTAGTGCACTCTGCATTGGTGGTGCATCGAAACAGCCTATATACTATTTCATTTTTAAGCATCGAATGAGTGAACCATGGTGAGGCTCGATTTTGCATACAAATAAGTATAAATTGCCTTTTTTACTTCTGAGTGTATCCGTTTTAACGATTTTGAGTGAAAAACCACTCAATTCTGAGTTGATATCATGCCGTGCAGAGGTCAGATAACGCTTCATTGTATAGCAAATAATTATACCTTGTCAGCTAATACCATTGTGTTATATCAAACTGAACTATAACGTCGATAACGTCACTGTATATTTTGACGTTTGGTTGCCATAATTTTGTTATGAAACATCACCATTCGTCAACAAATAATTTTTGTTCGTGAGTATGGTGTAACAGTTTTGTTCAAACAGTGAAAATGTTTGAATAGTTTTAAAATTAACAAGTAATCAAACCGTGGTTACCTACGAGTAGTGTATTTTTAAATTAAACTTCCTATTCATAATGCTATTACCATCACTTGCGCGTCTAGCGTACGGCTGTAATGCCAAAAGGCTGCTCCGAATTCCCAGATCAGTGCCGGCGCCGGTACGGTTCATAGGTCGTAATCAAAATGCGGATGCAGCCCGTAAGCACAGGATTCGTACCACCCTTTACTATGTGACCGCGGCCGGTGTCTTGACCGCTGGAATGAGCTATGCTGCCGTTCCTCTATATCGGATGTTCTGCCAGGCATACAGTTACGGTGGAACCACTAGTCAAGGGCACGATGCAGACAAAGTGGAAACGATGCAACGGGTCAAGGATCGGGTGATCAAAATTCGGTTCAATGCCGATCTGGGAGCTGCGATGCGGTGGAATTTCAAGCCACAACAACCGGAGATTAATGTAAGTGGTGCGCAGGTAGTTGCGTGACGTTAAAATATATTCGATGGGAAATTTCTTGCTTGCAGGTCGTTCCTGGCGAAACGGCACTGGCTTTCTACACGGCCAAAAATCCTTCAGACCAACCAGTGATAGGAATCAGCACGTACAATGTGGTTCCGTTTGAGGCAGGAGCTTATTTTAATAAAATTCAATGCTTCTGCTTCGAAGAACAGCAGCTCAATCCGCACGAAGAGGTATTCGCAATTTTTGTTAATGCAATTGATTAGATAAGATTGATATTTTATTTTATTTATTTTTTAGGTGGACATGCCCGTGTTCTTCTATATTGATCCCGAGATTATGGACGATCCCAGGATGGAACTGGTGGACTCCATTACGTTATCATACACGTTTTTCGAAGCAAAAGAAGGAATCAACTTTCAAATGCCAGTTTATGCTAAGAAACATGGTGCATAATAAATTTTATTAGGTATATTTATCGTTGAACGTGATTGTTTAATGTATTCTCTCCGAACGATGCTCGTGCTAAGTTATCATTTGTTAAGTGTATGTTCCGAAGGATTTGCGAGGGTTCTCTCCTATATGTTTCGAATTCTAACCAAATCGCGATGAACATTTCAAATGGTCCTATCTGCTTTGATCGATTCTCTTCATCGACTTTCTCTTTTCATAACCACTGCTATGCAAACAGATTTCGCGCTAATTCTACCACATAGTTTGATAAAGAAGGTACTTATCTAGCGTCCAAAATGTCAAATACAACAGGGGAAAGTTTTGCAGCTGAGCTATTGACGAAAGAGAAAGTCGATGAAGAGAATCGATCAATGCAGATAGGACCTTTTGAAATGTTTATCTAGAAACCGCGCAACCTTCGTGACGGATTTATGTAGCCCGCAAAGTATTCTTAATTTTCATACAGTCTATTGGAAAATTGCCGCAAAACCTCAACGCAGATGTCGCCACTGCATGATGATGATAATGTTGACAGACTGCATATAAAATTCGTGAAAATTAGCATTAAATCATAATTTTCATCAAGCCTGCGTGAAATCCTTCCAATATAACATTTGAATTGAAGAAGAAAACGTTTTTACGATCAGACTGATGTGCATCTTTGACTTTTCCAGGTGAACTTGCATAAGATATATTCATTTCATTTCACGGCTCCATCAATGCTGCATCGTAAATATGATGGTAAACAGAAGTAAATTGCTCAATTACTCAAAATAAAGATGATTTGTCATCTTGTTATAACTTTGAAGACCATCTAGCACCATTTTATAGTATGGTGCGTGTTGAGTAAATCAAGTTCCGGTGCGTTTTCCGTCGAAAATTGTGAGTATCAATATGTTTGCTTAAAAAAGGCCAAAATGAACATTTATTGAATATTGGCGTCCTATACAACCAATTCTCTATTACCACCAGCATGATACAACCTTTCCTAAGTAAATTCACTTAATTTCCACTTTCATCTTAGTGAAAATCGCACATATTTACCATTTTCTGAAAAATGCAGCTGCGCAGGAGGTAACCTCTCCCTGTGGGTGCAAACTTGTTATGGATAATTTGCCATGAAAACATCTCCGATCCATACCGAAATAATAACAAATAGTTTTCAAACACGTTTTCTTACACGATTCAAGCAAAAGTTTCCACGCGAAATTAATAGTTTTTCTTTATGGACCGATTTGCCCCAAAAAGCGTCTGTTTTACTTGGAAAATTTGGAAACTATCCTCCTTCTAGTAGTTCTCACTTTGAAATGTAGGTGGCGAAAGCTTGGAAAAGTTTCGCTGCAAGACGCCAATTGGATCAAGATAACTTGTGTTCCAAAAACGTGAGCTGGAAAGATATCAGTTAATATCATCAGATACCAGGGTCAGAATTACATAGAATTTCAAAATTTCCTTTATACATGGATGTAGTTTAAGGAAAAACGTTAGAGTTTTCGACATTAATTTAAAGATGCCGAATGTACGGCGAACCTTACACGGTTAGAAAAAAGTACCCAAAATTAAGTTCTTTTCACTCATCTCGGCACTATAGTGCAGGAACCCAAAAGTAGGTAAAGCGGGTCAAAGTAAATTTCATTTACTTGTGTGCAATTCGTATGGAATTTTCCACTGGCTTTTTAACCAAAAGTAAGTTAGTTGTACCCAAAAGTAGGTAAATATGATTATACTCAACGTTGGGTTCCCACACTTTACTACCCCTGTTGGGTGGTTTTGCTCCTCCGTTTTTGACAACATTAGAAGGAGAAAAGGAGACAAACTAGTCAAAAGTAGGTAAAATTGAACTTTCCGTTGGGTACTTTTTTCTTACCGTGTAGTTGTCTGGTTGACATCTCAAAATATTTGAATAAGCTAAACCTGACACTTGCACAGAGAACAGACCTTGAGGCTCGAACGAAATTCCTCTAAAAACTTGTGTAAAGATTCCTATTCGACTTAAGCGCCACTAACGCTGAGTTCCCCACTTAAAAACCCTCTTTGGCAACATGATGGCGCTGGCATTGCACAACTTACACTAGACACTAAGTGCCGGTCGAGGGGGGCGCGAGTGGTAATTTTCAACCGAAAATTTATCGATACTAGCGCCAAATTGGTCGAAGTGGAAAATTTATAGCGGAAATCAGGAGATGTTAGCGCTACGTAGTGGCGATGTTCCAACTTATCTTTACACAAGTTTCTGGTGGAAGTTGGACGTCTGTTTTCTGTGCTGATAGGGTAGAGAACTACTTCGGCTTAATCGCCCATTTTGGGCCTATCGAGCAGAAAACTTCAAATAAATCCATGATTTCAGAGTTAACATGTCAATTTTGCGTTTGGTACGATACTTTAGTTAATAAGCTACCAAACAAAGTCAATGAAAACGCGTTATTTGAAGGTTTGCACCCATTATTCACAAAAACAAAAGAAGCGCTCCGACCGAATCAATTTTTATCTTCATCCGATAGGCCGAAGTGAATTCATTGGCGTTTCAATGCGTTAGGCCGAGTTTAGAATCCGTAGGCCGAGTTTGGCGTCAAGAAGTAGTGTTAGACTTTTGACTATATCTCAACGATTGGTTTCTCTTTATTAAATCTTACGGTACGGAAAAGTAAATACATTTGAAAACCATTAGTAATAATAACATTCCGTTTGGTGCTAAACTGCGCAAGATTAAGAAAGACTAAGTGTGGGTTGTGCTTAATAGGCCGGAAATGGGGTAGTTAACCCTACCGATGATGATATTGGAAGCTCTTTCACTCGAAAGCGAATCATATTACATATCATGGTCCGAACTTGGATGTGTGATTGTTTTCTCAAGTGTTTCTGTTGCGTAATGATTGAAAAACGGAGCAATCACAAAAAAAGTGGGAATCTTGCTACCGCAATATAATGATGATGACATCGAGGATGATACCGTCCTGTTCCCCCAGCTGATCATCAACGTCCGCGCTAGCATCTGTCATGCTGACACCTGTCAGTTATTGAGTTGGCACAGGACTCCCAACAGTTTGAATGTGCATTCACCAGATGGCACTACAATCACATAAGGGTGGTGTATCTATATAGGCCTTTTTAATGTACCACCAACGTAGAGTGCGCCACGCGAGTTCGAGAAGAAACGTCAACCAAACCGTTTGTTTACATCAGAATAAGTATTTTCCCCAACGCAAATTACAGCATTTTTCATTCAAAATCTTGCCAATTTCCATAGGTAATTGTCTTATTGTACGATTTTCCACAAATCTGAACTGATTTGCACCTTAACTATTCACACACAAGAAATCCGGAAGATCATAACCACTAAGGCACTTTTCTAATTTTCCATTTTTCTCAACAAAAATATTCCTGAACACCAGCAGGATCTTTTCAAAAACGTTACAGAATTGAATTTTTCAACTGTAGATTAAGTTTTGGAGCATCTCAGATGAATCAATTGATCAGGAAAAGTAAAAAAAGTAAAGGGTTGTGTCCTAGACACGACCGCAGTATGACGTAGAACCACACAAAATTGATGCTTTTCATGCATTTTTGACTATTATACTTTATCTTAAAATTTTCAAGTATTTCAATGTTTCGGTTATGGCGAGGGTTATGGTTGACTCAAAACAATTTACACATTTTTCTTGACAAATATCCATGTGAAATTCCACATGATTTTCATTTGACCACACATAAACAGAATCCACTCAGAAGTACACATGAAATTTACACGCAAATGAATAGTATGTGTGGTCACGCATGGTTTTTATATGTACATATATTAAGTATGTGGCCGACCCATAGATATTGATTTGTTGATCACGTTGCAACAACTCATGTGTGGGACACATAAAACAATATTTGAAATTTTGTTAGTGTTCAATGTTGAGGGGGGCGAGAGATTGTTGTGAAGGGCGGAGGGGGTTTACATTATTGCTTTTCATCATTGTGGTCACGCCGTGATCCACCTTAAGCCGCTGATTTGGTCCTGCTTGCTGCAGGACCAAGCGCCACGCCGTCCGAAGCGTTAATGAGCAGTGGCATGAGAGCAGCGCTGATTTATATCTTTTCAGGTTCAAGCAGAATGATGTGCAACCAAGTGGTATTCGTTTATGATGACTGGGTTTGGGAAAAAGGCTTATTTCATGAAATCAGTGATAAAATTATCATTTGTACATTTTCAAAAGTTCAATTTCAGAAAAATTGGAAAAATATTTATTTCAACAGGTTCGTAATGTAATATCCTATCGATTGGCGTATTTGGATTTTAATTTCATCTATAAATGACAAAGTTACAAGCGTTCAAAACCTAACACTCCTTCACCACACATATTTTTTGACTTGCACCCCAGTATAGTCGACAAAGACGTAGTTCTACGTCAAAAAGTGTTCCGTTTCCTGTCTCACGGTAGAAATTTCTGCTTACAACACTCTTTTTGACGTTTTCCTATTCACCACCAGAGGTTGAATCGATCGTTTAGTTTCTATTAAAAAGGCCTATTTCCTTATTCGAGGAAATGATTAATGGGATACCTTGTTAATTAGAAATCTTTGATATCTTCTTAATTAGATATATTTGTTAGAATGCTGTCGACCAAATTATTTATTCCTTGAAGCACAGAAAACAGACGTCCATGTTCGGTCAGAAACTTGTGTAAAGTTAAGTGGAAACGTCGCCGTTACGTAGCGCTAGCATTTCCTGATTTCCTCTGCAAATTTATCACTTTCGACCAATTTGGCGCTAGTATCGATAAATTATCTGTTGAAAATTGCCACTTGGCGCTACCACCACTTAGTGTCTAGTGTATGTTTTGCAACGCCAGCGCCATCAGGTAGTCAAAGAGGGTTTTTAAGCGGGGAAGTCGCCGTTAGTGGTGCTTAAGTCGAATAGGAATCTTTACACTAGTTTTTAGAGAAAATTTGTTTGAGCCTCAACGTCTGTCCTCTGTGGTTAAGGTAGGCAGCATGCTATGATAGTGTGATTGCGCATAGAAATCCCGTGTGGAACGCCTCCACAACACATCGCTTGTTGAGCAGAAAAACGTACCACTTTTTGATTCACCGATTTGTTTGCACTTCCCCTTCTGTTCTGTGGTATTTGTCAACGCCGGTGAATGCAAACGCAAACGGAAGCTGCAGAATCTAAATGATGACGATGAGTGATGACACCGCTTCATATTTTGATTTGCGTTGTATCTTCCGCTTGGTGGTGTGGGTTCGTACAGGCAGAGATGTTGTTGTGCGTGTTTTCTTCCATCACTGCAGCATTTGGTCGAAAGTGGAAAATTTATAAAGGAAATCAGGAGATACTAGTGCCACGGAACGGCGACGTTCCCACTTATCTTTACACAACTTCTGGTGGAAGTTGGACGTCTGTTCTCTGTGACTGCAGTTCAACGTTGTCTCTTCATAAACCGTTTGGCGCTGTTGTCTGTCTCTATACATTACAAAGAGTGATTTCTTAAATATCGTACATTGCGATTACAATTTTTAATAAAAGGTTATCCAACAAACATTGGAAGCCGAATAAGAGCTTATTCGTGTATTATGCTTCTTCAACTAGGAAATGGCTTATTCAGCCATTAATTAGTACAAACTGTTTGTTGGCTAACTATTTATAAAGACGACGTCATAAAAATGACTCTCAGGTTGATTTCTCTCCACTTCACGGTGGTAAAAAATCATCGAAATCACAAAAGAAATTACAACATAAAACCGTTCCATTATGGCAACACTAAAATTTCGAGTATGTTTGCCAAAATCGAACGGGCACTGTAATAAACCCATATTCTCGTTTACGTTCAAGGCGTATTTTCCATACAGAAAATTGAAACGAAAACGAGAATATGGGTGGTAATGATTTCATAATTCCGATAAGCATTTTGTTTTATACCGAAGTGAGTAGAAGCAACCCTTCACCTAAGAAAATAATCAAAATAGGTACATTCCATACAAAATTCTTGGTGTACGGATGCCGGTCCCCCACGGTACGCCTCTCGAAAAAGGTAGAAAACCGCTGCGTGTGTGTCACATTCGTATCTGGATAATTGGCGTTGTCGGCGACTCTGTAGCTCTTTCTCCTATGGTAAAATCCATAAGCAAACGTCAGACTGTGCGTGAAACTTGGCAGACTTCGTACTATCCTTTCACTCCTCCGATAATTCCCATAAGAAGCTATCAATGCTGGAAGAGAAGATTTTTCGACGGTGCCGTCAACGCCAATTACATTGATCTCTCAAATACTGTCTACGTAGTTTAGCCACTAGATCATATACTTGGATCCTGCTCCTGTCAACATGTGTTGTATTAATAATTCGTTAATCTCTAGTTATCAGTTTCTTTCGCACTCAAAACCCAACCCGTTAGTAGTCTTTTAGTCAATATTTATTTGTTCATTCATCATTACTAATACAGTACCGTTTAGTAGTAGAACGCTATTTTGGCATCCAATTTAAAATTGATTTTCCATTCTTACTAAATGATCTCCTTCCAATTTCTTCAACCGTGTTTGGTTTCAACACTAATATAATAAGAATTGTAGGTAATATATTAATGCTTAACGGTTTCTCCTGTTCTTACTCCTCCTCACTTCCTACAGTGAATTAGTTAAATTTAATTGTTTTCAAAGAATTTACCTTCCTAACACTGTTGTATAAAATGTTGAATTAAGATAAATTCTCAGTTAGACAGGACCGTCTTCGTTTTTGTGATTGTAAATATATAAGAGTCGCTTCAGTTTTTGTTCTCGTTCAACTAAATCGTCCATATTTTCCATTTTCTTGTTAATGCTCAACTCGGCGATTACGCTAGATAAGTGCTACATAAGTAAAACAGTTAGATTTTAGCACGATTCGCTTTAGGACGAGTCGATTGAGGAGAGGGTCTCTAACTCAAGCTACACAGTTTCTAGCAATCCTGAAATAGAATGTAGCCGGAGCTACTTCATCTCGAGGGGAAGGAAATATATTTACAAAAAACTTCAATTTGTGAATTTGCTAGTGTTACAACTTTTGAAATTATGTGCAATCTTGTTTTATTCGGGAACACATACAGACACGAGAAAGAGTTCTTTAAAAGCACCAACGATTCTATGTTTTCTTGTTTCTAACATTCACTATCATTCAACCCGGATACATTCAGAGCTGGCATTGACATTGGAAATGGGAGTAAGTAGGTAAAGGCTTCTTTTCGATATCACTTGTTTGTTGCGCAAATTGAAGTTAAATTGAGCACCACCGAATGCGAAAAAAAAATCGCCCTGCATTCGAATGTACTTTTCTTCTAATCATGTTCAAGAGAGTATCATTTCAGTTTCTGACAATTTTGATATTTGCTCCTACTATCGGTTATCTAACTCTGATGGATAAGATTTTTTTAATGAAAAAGAAAAGGAAAATCAAAATCGAGCCTTTCTGAGTTTGGGAAATTATAGATTTATATAAAATACACATTTATAAAAAAAGATATCCTCTTTAGCCTAAACGCTAAACACAAACGGGAGGAAAACCTACTCGCTAGAGTGTAGTTCCTAAGTCTAAATACAAATAAAATATATTGCTTGTAAGATGTTATTTCCCTTCTTCGAACTCGCTTTAGACGCGTGTAACTTAAATATGCAAAATAATCTATTCCTTAAACTGCTTTCCATCCGTATAGAAGCCTGATTCTGACCCAAGCTTCCATCGTTCTATAAAATACACAATCGCGCTCAAGGGACGTGACAGTTGCATAACTTCAGGGGGGAGGGGAATCTGCTGCTGCGTTCCTTTGACGCCGTCGTCATCGATCACATCTTATCATCACAAACCGGTGGTGTTGTTGTTGTTATACTGATTCTAAAAAAACAAAAAACGAACAGGGTGACCCCAATTGGGACCGTTTCGCGGTTGCCTGTTCCGGATAAGACGTGCAGTACGGCGCGATTATGCTGCCTTGACTTCGAGCAGCTGGGGATAGTGTTCAACCACCTGCAGCAGGATCGTTTCGATGTAGTGTTTCAGTCGACGGTTTTCCTCCTCCTTGTCCTGGAATGCGATTTGGAGCTGAAACGGTGAGGAAAATGGGGAAGTTAATAAAAATGGGCCGATCGAGTTTTGTGCAAAGTGGTATTAGATTGTGCGCGCAATTGCTAGCAGCGGTGTGAGTTTAGGGCAAGTTATTTATCAATAAAACAATATTCTAGAAATTGCAAAGAATTAATACAATAAAGGGAAATTAAAACGGATGGTAAATAATACAATTACGGGATGTAAAACAAGGAATGAAGATAAAGATACGGGAATTTCGATCCACATCACTCTACAGGGTGAGGAAAAATTATCCGTGTTTTTTCTCCCAGTGTATGGCTCGAATTTGACAGATGCTGAAATGAGCACACCTCTGCCAATTGAGACCTTGATACATAATAAATAAACGCTTGTAGTTTCGTTTGAATCGGTTCACGTGTATTGCCGTAATGAAGTCCAGCCCACTACGAAGTGCGGTAATTAAGCTTTACAAACAAGGAATTCGTACCATAACGGTACCATGAACTCGGAAGTTTGGAGGACCGTTCAGGAAGAGGCAGAAAAAGAAGTGCGAGGACCCTTCAGAATCGGAACATACTTCGTCATAGGATTAATCGAGATTCTAGACGGTCTATCCGAAAAATGGCAGAATCATTGAAAATCAACACAAAGTCAGAACGAACTATTCTACGTAAGGATTTAGGATTGCATTCTTACAAATTTTCGAAGAACCACCAAAACGATCGCCACCTATTGCCAAAGGGTTCTACTAGCCGTACGAATGTTTCCAGATCACATCATCCAGCTTCTGTGATGGTTTGGGCGGGAATTACGGCTTCCGGTAAAACTCCCTTAATATTTATCGAAAAGGCGTCAAAAACAACCAAATACTCTACCAGAAGCTGCTGACGGACACAGTTGCACTTGGTTGCACCTTGGGCACATACGCATTTCGGTAACAACGATTTGAAATTTCAACAGGAATGGGCACCATCGCATGAAGCGAAAAAGACGCTGGAGCTTTGTAGCAAACTTTTTCCTAGATATTTGACAAAAGATGAATGGCCTTTAAGCTCCCATGATTTAAATCGAATGGACTATTCCGTCTGGTCAATTATTGAGTCCAGAGCCGATACTAAGTCACACATATCTTAAGATCATCTGAAAGCAAGTTTGACAAAAGTCTGGGATGCAATATCTGTGGAGGAACTAACGTCCATCGTCGATAATTTCCTTAAGAGGTTGAAGGCGTGTGTACGAGTCAAAGGAGCACATTTTGAGAAATTGTTGTGCATATCATAAACTATGTTGATGTACCTACATTTCCCATAAATATGTTGTAATTCAATACACAAGCAATAAAGTTACGATTAAATCATTAAGCACGGATAATTATTCTTCACCCTGTATGCAGTACCATGTTAGGGATCATGAAATAATCCCACGTGAGGGAGGGAAAGGGGTGTACGTGACTTTGATCAATTCTTTTCATCGACTTTCTCTTTCGTTAATAATTCAAGCTGAACATTGCATTAGGTCCTAAGTAACATTGACAGATTCTCTTCGTCGACTTTCTCTTTGTATACCCACGGAAATGTAAAGGCATTCCCAGGTATTTTCAGCACACATATCGCTAAAAGAAGCTTATATCTTGCGTTTAATAAGACAAATACAACAAGAAACGGTTATGTGGCTCAACTTATCAACGCAAGAGAAAGTCGACGAAGAGAATCGATCAATGTTACTTACGACCAAATGCAGTGTTCAGCTTGAATTCAGCTGCAAACACATTCCTTGATTCGTGTGCCATTCTGGATGCTAGATGAGTACCTCCTTTATTAAACTATGTGGCAGAAATAGCGCAAAATCTGTTTATAAAGCTGTGGCTATCAAAAGAGAAAGTCGATGAAGAGAATCGATCGAAGTCACTTCTAACCCCCTCATGTAAGAGAGCCTAAGAATATTTCTAACTCCTTGCCCTCTTACGTGCTTACTTAATTTTTGAATGGCCCCTTAATTACTTCAAAGAGGTAGTTCCTGTGACTTCTCAACGCAAGATCTCACTAACACAACCTTGCTAGTGTATTCGTTTAAAATCGATTTGTTTATTATTTTCAACTACGAAATCAGCTGTCAAAGTGTTCGACTTGACAGCGGTTTTTTTTTTATTTTCAACCAGTAAAACGCTTGTTTTAGTGAAACTGCTCACTAATACTAACCGAGGTAGATAACTCTATGGCAGGTATTTATCATTTTTATACTAAGTTTGCATTCTCTCCCTTTATACCGACCTTTGCGTTGGCACGGAGAGTTGCGATTTAGCGTAAATTTTATACTATTTAGGTTTCAATATTTTTTGAGTGTAGGTATGTGCGGAGCACTTGGTCTAAAGCTAAGAGAAGAGGTGACAATACGAGGGCAAAAATGAACCACTTTTCTGTCAAACGTGAACCAGCTCCTGATTGGTCGATTTCATGTGCGTAAGATAGAGATAGAGATAGATAAAGATAGAGATAGAGATAGAAATAAAAGAGGAATAAGCCAATTGTCACCTCTTCCTCATAGATCTAAAGTAAAAAAGGTTAGTATCTTTAGTTTCCTTTGCAACTGTCTTCACAGACGGCTAAACAGTAAGTTTTTGTACCGAAGTCGAATCAATTTGCAATCTTAAAAAACTCGTTCTGCATAGTATTTTCATCTAAATCCGAGGTTTGGTAAATCATTGAGCTATTTTTTGAATTTTTAACAAGCAAATGAGTAGCTTCGTTCTGTTTCCGATACAAAATTTTAAACTCTCCCGCAAATCCAGACCATAACTAAATTCGAGCAAATTTGGCACAGTTGTTGAGGACCTTAATACACATCGAAAGAGCAATGTGAAGCAGATGGTTGTGAAGTTGAACCACAAACGAAGTGACAGACGGAGCGATTCGAAAACTTTGGTGACTAGCCTGCTATTGCAATTTTTCAGTGTACCACATGACACCACTACCGAGAACACTACTACCAACCGGTGGAAACTAATGATTTTAAATTGGCTCACTACTTGACTAGGCTATTGATCCCAAGCAAATCGATTAACGTACCCCATTTCCGTCGAAATTCTAGTATTACACTATGTTTGTTTTGATTCGCTATGAAAGTTTGACAGATAAAATGAGGAGCTCGTGAATTTTCCTATGTTTCGAGGGGTGCATCGATAAACTTGGGACCGAAAAGAGTACCAGAGCTGAGCCAAAAAGTTTAGCACGTTTCTTCTGGACCTTCTGGTCTTTACCTCTATGCTACTACTGGATTGTACCATAGAGGTAACTCTAAGACCAGAAGGTCCCAAAGAAACGTGCTCAACTTTTTAGCTCAGCTCTGGTACTAACTTCGGTCCCAAGCTAATCGACGCACCACTCGAAACATAGGAAAATCCACGAACCCCCCATTTTATCTGTCAAAATTACATAGCGAATCAAAACAAACATGGTGTAGTACTATAATTTCGACGAGAATGGGGTACGCTTATAGATTTACTTGGGGCCAATAGGCTAGTCAAGTAGTGAGCCAATTTGAAATCGTTAGTCTCCCCCCGATTGATTGTACCACATGGCAACACTAAATGTACTAGAATGTTTTGGTTCTATCTCTTTCACTCTACTCAAAACTGAAATGCATAAAAAAATGACAAAATGATACACTCTTTTCACACTGCAAAGATCATTGCACACAAAATCAACTTTGTTCAAATCAAAACAAAACGATTAGTCCATCTGGTGGCTGGCTGATGGCACAAGCTTCTATGAAAATTCTATTACACTGAACCACATTATTTTAATTGATTTCTTCGCCAGTTAGTCGCCTGTAACTTTGTTTGTGGTTGAACCATCCTAATTGGCCTTGACGGCGACTCTGCAGCTCTTTACTCCTATGGTAAAATCCATAAGCAAACGTCATACTGTGAGTGAAAACTGGCGACTTCGTACTATCCTTTCACTCCACCGAAAAATTCCATAAGAAACCGTCAATATTTTCTAGAAGAGACAATTTTTCGACGGTGCCGTCAAAGCCAATAGACATCCTTATAGCACAAACAAAGTTACAAACGACTAACTGGCGAAGAAATCAATTAAAATATTGTGGTTCACTGTAATATAATTTTCTTAGAAGCTAGTGCCATCAGCCACCAGATGGACTAGTAGTTTTGTTTTGATTTGAACAAAGTTGATTTTGTGTGCAATGATCTTTAGAAGTGGTCAAAGAGTGTTTCATTTTGTCATTTGTTATGCATTTTAGTTTTAAGTAAAGTGAAATACACGCTATTTCAAAACTACCCAAATTTGGGTAGAGTCCACCCAGATCGGTAAAAACAGAAACTACCCAAAAATGGGTAAACTGTGTTGGGAGTGACAAGTTGACAAATGAACAACGTCGATCGGATTCATGTCGATGTTCTTCATTTGTAAACTTGTCACTTCAAACACAGTTTACCCATTTTTGTGTAGGTTCAGTTTTGACCGATCTGGGTGGGTTCTACCCAAAGTCGGGTAGTTTATAAATAGCGTGTAGATATAACCAAAACAGTGTTGCCATGTGATACAAGCCAGTAGTAGTGTTGCCATGTGGTATACTGAAAAATTGCAATAGCAGGATAGCCACCAAAGTTTTCGAGCCTCACTTCGTTTGTGCTCATAGTGCCGATTTGAATCTGATGTATACAAAAGAACAATCATCGGTGTATCCAAAACTGCAGAGCAAAATGGCACATGTAGAACAACATCGCAATTCCCCGACAGGTCCAGGAACAACTCTAAGCATCTGACAAGTTTGACTAACCCTATTTTCAGAAAATCCTCGATAGACGCGTGACGTAATTTATGGAAGCTCCCTAACTGGGCTGCTCTTTTAACCAAGTAAGCGAACAAGATCTGTATATTTAAATACTGTACTCGAAAAAAGTGAAATACATTGATTAGGTAAAAAAAATATGAAATTTAGACTGAAAGAGTGTAAAGTTTGCGCTGGCAGAATTTCATCACAATCTATCAAGTGGTTATCGAGATGGAATCGGAGCAAGAATCACCAAAAAATCTCGTGCGCCGTCGTGGAAAATCCGAATGTGTCCCACAAATGAATCGGGAAACACCTGGGATCGTCCATCATTCGACGATTTCCCGGGTGGTGAAGTCATTCAAGGAGACCCAGACGACCCAGCGGCGAGCAGGCTGTGGCAGAAAATCGAAGACAGCTGACCCGCTGAAGGCCAGGAAGGTGTTGAGTCTGTTCAAGCATCGGCCGAGTCTTTTGATCCGCGATGCGGTGAAGAAGGCGGATTTGTCCATCTGATTTGTCCAAAAACCGATGAAACGTGCCGACATCCACGTCTACAAGGTATGACAAACAAAACACGGTGGCCAAAACCCGCGCCAGGAAGCTGTACCGGGAGTGGCTGACGAAACCGAGCTGCGTCGTGATGGACGACGAGACTTGCATAAAAGCGGACACAAAGCAGCAGTTGCCGGGGCAGGAGTTTTACGTTTACGTTTTACGGTTGGCCGTTCCTGATGAGGTAAGGAATAAGAAGGTGGACAAATTCGCCTCTAGAAGCGCCTCCTACCCTTCCTGCGGTCTCACGGAGGCGAGACGCAGTTTTGACCGGATTTGGCATCCTGCCACTACGCGCGGCCGGTGTTAGACTGGTATAGAGACAACAATCTTCGTAAAACACTAAGATGTTGGAGAACGAGCTGGCTTTGAAGAAATAGTGGGTATCAAAAGAAGTTGGCCCCACCATTGCCCAAAACCTTATGAGTGGTGTCAAGGGCAAGGAGCGGGCATTCGGTTATGAAGCAGAGCAGTCTTTAGAATTCATTTTCTTTTTATTTCCTAGGAAATCAAATTAGCTGCACTGCCCATAATCGCAAGTCAGTCCCATCTGTAAAAAACTGGAAATGAGAAAACGACGTTCAAAGATTTTTCAAGTTTTCTGATTTGACACTTATGTTGGAGGGATAAATTTAAAAATAAACGTACAATGTGATAGAATGCATCTATGTTTACCCAAAAATATTGGAAAAATATCGTAAAATTTTTATTTTATGGCCAAAATCCGAGTGGGACTGACTTGCGATTACATTTAACGTGAATGAGAAAAATAACCGCAAGTCAGTCACAATTCCATGACGATGTTGCATTAGTTTAGCTCAGTATTGAACAGTAGAAAGATACCATGGTCCCATAGAACGTTATTGAATGTTTCTGGATTTGTTCCGCTGGTTCCAAAGCAATGGCCGAAACATACTCCGGTGAGTATGGGTCTTCATCAGACCAGAGCTTTTTATAAACGAGCCAAACCCCCCATGCGATAAATTTATCTTTATTAGGGAGGCTTTCAGCCTTGGGCTGGTTCACATCATGCGATAAATCAATTCACATGAGAATTCAAAAATAAGATCAATAAGAGTCATGATGAGTGACCAGCATCATGTTGGCCACACCCGGACATGTTCCGGGTATCCCCGGGGGAGTGGTAAATCCGTTTTTTTTTCCATCAAGGATGTTTAAGAAGAAAACTGTATTGGCATTACTAAAGTAAAAAACGTGCCCTTGTACTGCTTAACCACTAAAGAACCACACACAAAATAAAAAGAAATACCATGTCGTCAGTTCTCAACGGATTTTGATCGATTAGAAACTGGTTCTAGTTTTAATATGGGGTGGAGAACGACTTCACAGTACACAGTTTTAAGCACGAGTGAGCGGTAATTGGTGCACTCATGGTACCAATGGTCGGCACTTACTCCACTACATTCTTAAATATTTTAAAATTGAAACAAAAATCGTATTCAATTTTAACACATGTGGGAACCAATATGTAGCTGGAATCAATTCCTGACCCGATTGCAGGTTGTTTCATCAAAGCTCATTGAAAACTGACGTTGTTTTCGTATCAGATAGAGAACTTGTAATTGCCAGAAAGCATTAGATTAGCAAAGACGTAGAAAGCCATAGAAGCAGAGGTATGAAAGACCAAATGCTAAATGTTAGTAATTATCTAGGCATTCCAATGTCGCGTAACTTCGAAGAATGCAACCAAAATCACAAGTAGGAAAACCAAAAACGTTAGTGAAGCCATTAGTTGAGAATTCCATCACCAAGAAAGCAATTGTTACATCCCAGCCAAAACACAGAATGAAGAAATTAATCGACAGTTGTCCAGTATTACACAACACCTATGAGGTAATATCTGTCTTGCACGCCACAACTAACCTGTGTTAATGACGCTAATGTCGACGAATCAACGGTATCCTGTGGAAAAGAAGAAAACGTATAACAAAAACGATACTTGGGTGTGTGTGTGTGTGTTGAGAGCGTGACAAATGAAGACAAACGAATAGAAGGAGAGAGACAGAGAGTGAGTGGGTGGGAACAGAATGAACAAAATTAGCTGAAAGCCCAAACATTAGGTGTACTAAAATGTGACTAATGGTGGTTTAGCCTAGAGACCCTGCTTCATCTAACAACTTAGAACCTGATATATCACTTCCGAAGCGTGTGTTTGTGACGCACAGTTACGACCAGACAAGTTTGTCGGTGCCTACCAGCAGTTACTGTAGTTTTGCTCTACTGAAAGCATCAGTAGAAGCGCCCCACTCACCTGATTCTGGCTCATGGCTTCTAGTTCCTGTGCGAGACTGTTGGATGTTCCGTTGAGCAAATTTCGTCCTTCTTCAACGCCCTTGGTCAGTACCATCGCTTGCAGTTCCTCGTTCGCTTCTTCCAGTTGTTTGCTTTTCTGTCGCAGCTCCTCCATTTCCTGGTGCAGCTCTTCCAGCCGAAGCGATTCGGGTGAGGTCGTCGGTAGGGCCGGACCACGTTCCGTACGAAGGCGTTCGCACTCCTTGCCCAGTTCGACCATCAGATCCTCGGCAGCCTGTTTGTCTGCTCTATGCCTAAAAAAAAAGAATTGGAATTTAATGAATCAGCACAATGGGAGGTACACTGTGGAAGTGCAACGTACTTCTTCTCATTGGCTTTCGCCTCGGCCAGCTCCTGTTGGGAGGCCATCAGATTGTCCCGCGTCTTCTCCAGCTTGTCCTCGGTGGCGTGAAGATCGGCGGCTTGTTTGTCGCACTGCAACCGCAACCGGGAGATTTCCTCCCGCAGCTGGTTCGCCTCCACCTCAATTGTCCGTATCCGGATCTGGCAGTTTTCGTTCTGTAGTTTGGCTTCCCGTTCGACCCGGGCCAACAGTTCCCGGTGTCGTTTCTGCTCCTCGGCGAGGCGTTCTTCCGCCCGCAGTTCCGTCTGAAAGGTGTAGAGATAAAATGAATCTGGTCAGTACAGTTGAGTGACAAGACAGTTGAGCTTCCAGTTCATGAAACTTGGATTAAATTTTCCGCTTGGTTGAAGCTGAAGAATGCGCTAGTTTAAATACGTCGGTACCTACTTGGTTGGGTTGGTAGTGATTGATAGAACCAACAAAGCTTAATTGAACCTCTAAACCAGGTACGGTGGCAACATTTACAATTTCTTAATCCGCGATGCGTGAAATGGCTGCACCCAGTGCCTTTAACAGTAAGACAGTTCATGTTGGATTTAAATTGGGGTTCATGAACAGCAACAAAGAAGATAATTGCACGTTTACGACGTTCAGTGTGAAGCGTTGACCTTTTGGTTGAAGTTCTGATTGCGAACAAAAACAAATTGTTCTGATTGTCTGAATAATAAAAAAATGCGTTTATTATTCAACTTTACTGCCGTTATACGGATAACAGTTCCATGTTCTGTTATGGAAAGTGGTTTTACTTTTGTGTAAATCGGTTCATTTTTTTTTAATATTTCGATTTTCTCGAGTCACCCCATTATCTTGATCGCAATCTCAATTATGGGTAAACGTATATTTTAAAATAAAAGCAGTTTAGAACCAACTCGTAAATGGCAATAGGGCTTGAAACCATAAATTGGAATTGTGCACATTTTGGAGATATGAGCTGCTTGTCAATCCATCCATGAGTTCCTCGTTTTTTGCGTGGGAGACGATCCCGAAATGGGCTACAAAATGGTGAGTTGACAACCTGGAAGGAGCGGAATACCTATCTCTGGTCCTCACAAGTTCCTACTTCACGCCTCCTGAGTCATATTATAACAAAAGACTACCAGCTGAAACATGGACACAGCTGGGTGGCGTAGCCTGGGCAATGTTGCCAGTCCGGCAATAGCAAAGTGAAGAGGTGCGACGCGAACACTGGCGCTGTAACCATAGTACGGTGATAGAGGAAATGCTTTACTAAAACCGAGCGTCTGTTCACCATGGAGATGCGGCTCAAAACGGCGTCTGTTCTCCATGTTAGGAGCGGATGATCACCGTCCTAGTGCCAACGTGGGACTCTAAACAGAGCTGTGCATGATAGTCCCCCGGCGAGGCAGGCCCAACAAGCCGCCCTGGAAAAAAACATAAAATTGCAAATACAGGGCTGTTACAAGATTTTCTAAATTTGATCCGCAAAATCCGCGATTTCTCAAAAGAAATCCGCGACTTCAAATACTAATCCGCGTCAAAAAAAAAAACTGTTTTCATAGCCTATTGTATACTACTACATGGCATTTCAAGCTTATTGCTTATAGCATATTAGATTTTTGCCTTAGTGTTCTTTGAAGTACTTTCACATTTTAATTGAGAGCTTTCTATGCATGTACCACCCTACGCCCAAGGAAGTAGAGAAATTTTCCAACACGAAAAATTAATAAACCGGACGGGAATAGAACTCAGTCGCCTCCAGCATGGACTTGCTTTGTAGCTGCACCTTTACCGACTGAGCTAAAGGAGTATGGTGTGTAACCTTTGAATTAAAAAAAAATAACATTGATGATACAATGTTAGTTAGTTATTTATGTATAGTATAAATTCTGAGTAATTAGTGAACATAATAAAACACCCTTACATCCTGAGGTTCTATCGAATAATACCGGCATAGATTTAACAAAACATTATTAAAGAAAATTAATGCATTTTCATTTGAAATTAAATTTTTTTTTTGAAAATTAATCAGAGACGTATTTTGCTGTCCTAAATGTTATAGTTAATTTGGCTCTAGTGTTCTCAATTTTTTACCGATTCAAACCAAACACCCTGCACATAATCGAAAAATTATCAAAGTTTCATAAGTCATGCTTGTTGGTCACGTCGCGGTTGTGTATTTACACGGATATTCCTTGGGTTCTGCCCAATGGTGAGACATTTTCATGATATTTTTTTTATTTCTAATATGAACCTAGCACTTTTCGTTGTCAAATCATAACCGAATCGTATAAATGTGGCTTTGTGGATCATGCACGACTCATTACTGTGTATACCGGAAATTATAGGTTTTCCAAATCGTCCAGGACATCAGTTGATTTGTTGTACTAGATCAACCAAGACTGCAATAATGTCTGTATCGAAATATGTCCAATCAGATTCAAAGTGTCTATGTGGATCATGCATGATCTATTTCCGAGTAAACCGGATTTTCAAGGTTCTTCAAATCGTCCTGGAGTTCACTAGATCAACCGAGATTGGGACAATGTCTTTTGTATCGAAATATTTCCAGACAGATGCACAGTGTCTATGTGGATCATGCATGAACTATTGTCATGTATACCAGATGTTTTAAGTACTCCAAATCGTTCTGGGCCTAGTCAGTAAAGGCACGGTATTACTAAGCCGGAGGCGGCGGGTTCGATTCCCGGTCCGGTCGAGGGAATCTTTCGGGCTGGAAATTTTCACGACTTCCCTGGGCATAGAGTATAATTGTGTTTGCCACACAATATACAAATTCATGCATTGGTATTGGCATCGAAAGCTCTCAATTAATAACTTTAGGAGTGCATTTAGAACACTAAGTTGAGAGCATGCAATAAGCTAATATGTACTAATCAATAAGCTTGAAATGCGAATAAGAAGAAGAAGAAATCGTTCTGGAGTTCAGATGATTTATTCAACTAGATAAACCATGACTGGGATGAAGTCTGTAGCATCAAAATATGTCCAAACAGATTCATAGTGTCTATATGGATAATGTTTGATTATTTCCACGTATACCAGATGATCTAGGTTCTCCAAATCGTTATGCAGTTCAGATGATTTGTTTTACTAGATCAACAAAGAATAGGATAATATCTGTAGTATCGAATATCGATTTGGAAATCCTAAGACATTTGGCATGATCCACATAGACACTGCAAATTTGTTTGGGCATATTTCGATACTACAGATATTGAATTAGTCTTGGGTGATCTAGTAGAAAAATAACCTGATCTACAGAATGATTTCAGAACCTATAACATCTTGTATACGTAGGTCGTATAGGTCGGGTACAATCCACATAGACACTATGAATCTGTTTGGACATATTTCGATTCTACAGACATTATTGCAGTCTTGGTTGATATAGTAGAACAAATCAACTGAACTCCAGAACGTTTTGGAGAACCTAGAATATCCGGTATACATGGCAATTACTTGCTTATATACGATTCGTTTATGATTTGACAACGAAAATTTCTATGTTCATATTGGAAAAAAAGGAAAATGTCTCACATTGGACATACCTCAGGGAATTTCCGTGTGAATAGGGTGTGACTTATGGAATTGAGATCATTTCTCGATTATTTACAGGGTGTTTACAGACCTACGCGACGAAATAAGGACTACAATTGGAAACTCGGAACATGGAACTGCAAATCGCTCGGCTTCCCGGGCTGCGATAGGTTAATCTATGACGAACTTCAACCACGCAACTTTGTAGTCGTAGCACTGCAGGAACTTTGCTGGACGGGACAAAAGGTATGGATAGCGACTACTTCTACTAGAGCTGTGGTACGACCAACCAGCTGGGAACCGGTTTTGTAGTGCTAGGGCTAGGTAAGATGCGCCAACGCGTGATTTGTTGGCAGCCGATCAACGCGAGGATGTGCAAGTTGAGAATTAAGGGCCGTTTCTTCAACTACAGCATCATCAACGTGCACTGCCCACACGAAGGGAGACCCGACGACGAGAAAGAAGCGTTCTATGCGCAGCTGGAGCAGGTGTACGACGGCTGTTCGCAACGGGACGTCAAAATCGTCATCGGCGACATGAACGCGCTGATAGCACGGGAGGCCTGCATGCCGTATCGAACGACAACGGCCAACGATGCGTGAACTTTGCAGCCTCTCGAGGTATGGTAGTTCGAAGTACTTTTTCCCCCGCAAGGATATCCACAAAGCCACCTGGAGATCACCTGACCAACACACAAAAATCCAAATCGATCACGTTCTAATCGACGGGAAATTCTTCTCCGACATTATCAACGTCCGCACGTACCTCAGTGCGAACATAGATTCGGTCCACTACCTAGTTGCAGTATGCATGCGCTCAAAACTCTCGACGTTGCATAAAACCCGTCGAAGTCGAACGCCACGACCCAACATTGAGCAACTACGAGACGCCGGAGTTGCCCAGGACTACGCGCAGCAGCTGGAAATTGCACTACCCACGGTAGAGCAGCTTGGCGCAGCTTCTCTTGAAGCTGGCTGGAGGGACATCCGTTCCGCCATAGGTAGTACTGCTGCAGCGGCACTAGGTTCTGCGATCCCGGACCGAAGAAATGACTGTTTTGACGGCGAATGCAAACTGTTAGTAGAGGAGAAGAATTCAGCAAGGGGCGAGAATGCTGCAACACCGCACGAGATTGAACGTGGAGCGATACAGACAAGCGCGGACGGTAACCTTCTCACGAACGAGTGTGAGGTGATTGAGAGGTGGAAGCAGTACTATGACGAGCACCTCATCGGTGATGCAGCAGAAAACGAAGGTGGCACGGCAACAGACTTTGAAGCACGCGCAGAAGACGACAGGCTACCGGCCCCTGATCTTCAAGAAGTTGAGGAGGAGATCGGTCGGCTGAAGAACAAAAAAGCAGCTGATGTAGATCAACTACCAAGTGAGCTATTAAAATACGGTGGTGAAGCACTGGCTAGAGCGCTGCACTGAGTAATTGCCAAGATGTGGGAGGAGGAGATATTACCGCAGGAGTGGATAGAAGGTGTCGTATGCCCAATATACAAAAAAGGGCGACAAGTTGGATTGCTGCAACTACCGCGCGATTACACTGCTGAGCGCCGCCTACAAGGTACTCTCCCAAATTCTATGCCGCCGCCTGTCACCATTTGCAAGAGAGTTCGTGGGGCAATACCAGGCGGGATTCATGGGTGCCCGCACTACCACGGACCAAATTTTCGCGATTCGGCAGGTTCTGCAGAAATGCCGCGAATACAACGTGCCC